GGTGAGATGAGTGGGTGTGGAGTTTGGTAGATGGAAAAGTAAGGGGTGATGGGTGGTTACGACGTTCAGGGGGGCGGGGCGGATGGAGGGGGGGGAGGGGGAAGTGTTAGAGCCAGATGGGGAAGATGGGCAGCTGGGTAGATTAGGATACTGGAGTTGTCGTCTTCATCCGAATAGAGGGCGCGGTCATTAAAACTCTGCATTTGGGGCAACTTTCAGTCTAGATTCAGGCGGTACTGACCGAACGTTCTATTGGGGTGAAGACGGTAGGTAGGGCGGTAGCGGAACGGGGCACTGAGGTCAGGTCGATAAGTGGAGAGCTCCGTCTTCACCCGACCCGAATAGAGCGCCCAGTTATTATCGCTGTATGTAGACGGAAAGTTGCACCCAATACGGCTGTAATGACCGGGCGTTCTATTCGGGTGAAGACGGTAGGCAGATGAGGAGGTGGTCGACTGGTTAGTAGGAGTTAAAGCGAGAGAAGGGGAGGTGGTTGCAGGTTATGGTGGACGTCCGTAGGTGGGGAAACAGACAGAGAAGAGGGTTGGTCTGACAGAGCACATCGAGCTTCTACCGAGGAGGGCGAAGATGGAGATTAGAGAAGAAGTGGAGAAGAGGGAGAAAAAAAGCTTAGCTCATCAAGCTTTATACCTAGACGGCCAAGAAGACGGAGAAGAGGAAGAAGGGAAAACAAGAAACACGAAGAACTGGACAAGGGAAGGGTGAGAGAGCATGCGAAAATCATGGGAGAGTATAGGAGGAGGTCTTCCAACTCACCAACGGACGGGAAGGAACTATCTCGAGTCCTCCACCAGGATACTAAAGATTTTGCACCCCGGACAAGGTTTGAACCTGACCGATCGATCCTTGACCCATCGATGCTCCTGCTATATACCAGGTTTGAACCACACCGATGAGAGAGAGCCTTTCCGAGGGAGGGGGGGGGGAGGGGGAGGGGGKGGGGGAGGGGGAAGGAAGGCTCTCGAATCCTCCACCACCTGCATGCTAAAGATTTTGCACCCCGGACAAGGTGTGAACCACACCGATCGACCCTGGACCCACCGATGCACCTGCATATTAAATATTTCGGACCGCGGACAAGGTTTGAACCACAGCGATCGAGTCGAGCGTAGACCCACCGATGCTCCAGCCACATACAAGGTTCTTACCTCACCGATGATAGCCTTTCGCACGGAGGGGGAGAGAGGGGGGGGGAGGGGGCGGAGAGAGAGAGGGTTAAGAGCTATCTTGAGTCCTGCTGATCATGAAGGTGAGTGATCTCTGGAAGTTCTCATACAGATTGGAACGCGCTGAGTTTTGGTGGGAGGTAGGGCCTCGTTCCAGCACAACTCACGGATTACAAAATGAAATCGTTTTTCTATTGATTTAGAACGAACACTTACAGTATTTACTGAAATTACTGTGTTTAGTGTATTTGCCAAGAGCTTGAATTTTCATTTTGAGAATACGATTCGTTCAAATGGGAAATGGGCATATAACAATATATGTATTTATTGGTAAATACTAATCTGGAAGGAAAAAAAAAAAAGTAATTCAGAAAATGAAAAAAGAAAAAACATGTCAAAGTTATGTATGTTAATCATGTTTTTTGTGAAAAAAAAAGAGACTGGCAAGAAAAGTGTTTCTAGCCACGTTTATTCGCAACTTTTGCACCCGGCATTTTTTCCCCATTTGGCGATTGTATTCACCCGAATAGAACGCGCGGTAATTTTCGCCGTATCTGGGCTGAAAGTTGTGCCAAATACAGCTATAATGACCGGGCGTTCTATTCGGGTGAAGACGATAGGTAGCAGTGGGACGAGGCTTTTCTGAGGGAGTTCTCTCACTACCGTCTTCACCCGAATAGAACGCCCGGTCATTATCGCTGCAAATGGACCGAAAGTTGTGCCAAATACAGCTGTAATGACCGGGCGTTCTATTCGGGTGAAGACGGTAGCACTATATCACAGCATTTACGGCAAAACGAGGATGCACGTGACCGCACTTAGATCCAGAAACAGGTAAAGAAGGCCTAGTGTAAGTATGGCCGTATTCATGCTGTCATTAGGTCCAGAAACAGGGAAAGACGTCCTACCTACCGGTAAAATGTGAGTATGCACGTATTCATGCTGTCACTGCGGAAAAGAGTACTATTGCAAAGATGCAGGTCGATCGCTGCCAAAATGACTTCACACTGCCGCCGGTCTCGCCCCGGACACAATGCACGCCCATTGTGAATGTATGCAAGCTACATTTCCGGTCCGATACGGTCGTGACAAGGTTGCGTTACGTTCGGAGGAATCGATAGACAGAAACTAGGCGTTGGTGGGGGAATGATCCCCGACTCGGGCAACGTGGCGGTAGGCAGGGCACATGGACTCGCGCCTTTTACTCAACAACATTTTACATGTATATGCACTGTTGTTGGACCAGATACGGACTGATC